GTGCACAACGTTGCCTGGCTTTACTGCACTAGTAGCGGCAAACGGAAATCAGCGGGAGCCACAGCAGCAACAATGGCCATTGATCAATTTCTCGTCATTGGCTTACATTGGATTACAGGCACTTTTGTTTCAACTGCGCCCCACTAAATGACACAATCTATCTCGTGTAACCACGTGAAAATTGAATTTTTGAACCACTTGCGCCATTCCCTATGGTAACAAACGGCGGTTCTTTTTCCCATAAATCAAACAGAAATGAACAAGCAGCATTTTATAGCATCTCTTGATGCACGGAAGGTTCTTTATTTAGCGTAGTTAGATCTATTACTAGTGATTAATTGTAGGCGGTCCGTCTGATGTCATCGGGATCATTCTGAAAATGTCCTACTGCGGCGCATGGGTTCTTGTGCATTTACCTTAATTTCTCGGCAAGTAGGGCACTGTTGTTGATAATATTGTTAATATTGTCGTTTTAGATGTTGTCATAGATTGAGCTTTCACTCTGACGTAAATTGTTATTTGACTTTAGTGTCTCTTTAAGGGGGACACGGGTATTAAGAGGCCAAAAATAGCAAAAAAATCAACTTTTTTAGGTTGACATTTTCGGAATCCGCAATTATTTTTTCACTTATCTTAGAAGTTTCAAGCTTCTCGCGTCATTATTTCTCGCACAAAATCAATTTATAACACCTTTGTGAGGTGAACCTGAGCTCAAATAGAAGCTAAAATCGCGTTTTTTCCATGCCAAACGTTGCCGTTACACACAAGCTATTGTGGTCATCTTGGTCTCGTTTGGAAGGGTCGTTCTCTATCTTCAATTTCCCGCCACCAGTGCCTCGCCTTGCTCATTGTTTTTTCAGCAAAAACGCGTCATCGAGAAGCACCACCGCGCGATTCTATCGGCTGCTTGAGGCACGTGACAAAACCTAGGCACCCGATAGGCCAAGTGCCGTTTCCGGCGTCTGCTTCTTCATCGTGACGCACACGGACATGCGTCATTTTGTCATGGTGCTGTCGACTGCCTGCCGCAGTAAAGAAGTTCCCCGAAACACTAATTTTTGAAGCGGGTGTGGTGATCATTCATTCGCTGTGAACTTCAGAAAGAGCCCCACTATCACTCAGGACAGGGAAGATAAACTCGCGGCGATCAATGGCTGTCCCCGAGTCAGCGGTGTAGGCCTAACTCACGTACGAGCCCGTCAGTTGTCGACAACGTCGCTGAAAACGACCGTGTCTTGGAGCCCCAACAGTTGCAGTACGGCAAATAAAAAAGCAGAACTCAAGCTACGAGAGATAGCAATCTTTGCAACGATGGAACGAAAGCGCAGTCTTATCGCTAAACGCGCCGATGCCGCGGGTTCCCCCATCTGATGTGAACTGCGTGACGGGTCGTCAGAGTGGAGATCCCCGCGCGTTGACAAACAACAGGAAATCAATCCGTTTGCGTGAACGTTCTCGCTGCCCGCGCAATGCAGGCTACTGGCAACAGGTAGAGTGCTCGTAACGACGCGTCCGCAACCATGAACATATTGCGTCGCGGCCTTTACTCGAAAATGTGGCTATCTTGTGTAAAAAAGAAACTACAGTCAATCCCGGATATATCAAACTCGGATATATAGAATTATTGGCTATATCGAACAGTTGAAAAAATCCCCTTGAACTTCCCATGCAGAAGTATGGGACCGGTACACCCCTATATCGAACTCCTGTACAGCGGGACATCCGCTATATCGAATGCTGCGCCGCACCGAAACCCAGAAAGTGCATTTTTCCTAAAAAATATTGATCAATTTTAGGCCACGTTCTAACAAGTTCCGATTCTTTTTCCCGTGCAGGCGACGAAAAAACATTGTCATTTCATTGCGCTGATCTCGTTCATTGCGCGGCCCTTGCGTGTACATCAGTACATATAATGCGCAATCTGCAGGTCTTACCCTGCGGGCATAGTGTTTTCCGAAAGACCGATCACCGAGGGCACTGAAAGAGAACGCGAAGTGACTCGGTGTTCTCAGTGCAATGTTCGCATGTGGTTCGCATTCCCTTCCTTGTTTGTTAGCGCACAATGGCATGCGAGCCTGAAAAACATGGTCTTCGAGATGAGCAACCTTGGACACACTTTTTAAGTGTTTTTGGTTTCAGAACGCGCGTCTCGGAGGCTACGCATTTTTTTTTTTGCGTTTCGCATTAAAGCCGCTAAAAGCAGCGGCTGCCAGCTACAAAACCACAGCAACATCGATATCGCCAACATGTCGACAGTGAAAACTCTGACGAACTCGGCATTGCGTCTTTTGCACCTTGTGGGCATTTCGCCTCATTTTTGATAAATCCTCATTTTGGAACCCGCACGTCGTGATAAAAATTATGACTGGTGCTTGGAGCGACATCAAGTAAAACGCTGTGATAAACGTTCCTTGCGGGCCAGGTGACGACTTCGGGTGCATCAAGACTGCTGGCATTGGCTAACAATGCCTCAGTGAATTCTACGACTTATCAGCTTTTCCGGGCACCATCTTCGACAGTAGCGACTTCATCAATACAGATGACAACGTTTCACACTGCATCGATGCTGAGACTTTGGCTGCTGTTGCCAGTGTCGCGGAAGTGTAGCCGTGCTGTTATGAATGTACCAACGCCTTCACTTCCGCCACTAACCAAACATTTGCCGCGCTACAAAGCTTGCATCGGCATTCTGCGTCAATGAACGTTGCGGCCGAAGGAGCTAAGTGCGCTTATTTGAAAAGTTTCAATGATATTAAGGATGACTGGAACTTGACGGCGCGCAAGAAGCAAGGCAAGTTTACGTACTAAATAAGGTGGAGTAACTTGCAGTTTGCACCTTATTTTTGAGCAAATCGTTATGTTAGCTCTTGTAACGATTTCTGAGGCCTGAAATTCTTCAATTTAGGCCTTAAACATTCGTATTTTATATTTGGAATTCTTGATATAGTGAACTATTTCCCGATCCCCTTCGAGTTCGATGTATCCGGGATCGACTATAACATGTCGCTGCTCTTGCAGCGAGCGCGCGAGTTCTGTCTGCGACATCAACAACTCAATCAGGACAAGCCGGAAAACATCGCTATATCATACGACGGATTGCAGATGACGCGCGCACATTCGTCGCACAAAGGCGTCACTCAACTGATAAGCGGTCTAGTTGACAGACGAGCACACACGATCGCATCAGCTCGCAAGTGTGCCTCTGCAGAAAACATGCAGCAGGCACTGAAAAAACCTCATTCAGGTGACGCAAAACAAAAGGACTACATGCCTGGTGCCTACTGAGAAAGCTGAATTGGCAAATCATTGTAAATAAACAGCTTTTCCATGCTACTGTCTGCCCAAAATAGACTTGTGTTTTTGCATGATTTCTCAGGATTGATTGATTGATTTGTGGGGTTTAACGTCCCAAAACCACCATATGATTATGAGAGACGCCGTAGTGGAGGGCTCCGGAAATTTCGACCACCTGGGGTTCTTTAACGTGCACCCAAATCTGAGCACACGGGCCTACAACCTTTCCGCCTCCATCAGAAATGCAGCCGCCGCAGCCGGGATTCGAACCCGCGACCTGCGGGTCAGCAGCCGCAGCCGAGTACCTTAGCCACTAGACCATCAGGACGGGGCGATTTCTCAGGATTCAAATTTCGCTGTAGTCGCAAGCTTGTCTAAAAGATATCTTTGCCTCCAGAGCAGCTAGGACTGTCATTTTCGTTGTGACATGTAGCTGTATCTCTAGTTTACACAATCGTAGGTGTGAATTTTTGAGATCTTCAAAAATTTTATTGGAACATGAAGTGGGTGTGCCTGCAACCCTGAAATGCAAGGTGCGACTAACCTTGCTAAAATTATCAAATCAAAAAAGCACTCCTACCCTTGTGAGGCTTATGTTCATTAGTACACAGGCATGTGCCAATAGCAGCTCTCCAATAACAATTTATTCTGTAATCATACAGGCAAACAATAGGTAATTAATTTTAGGATATCTCAACAACTAATTGGTTTAGAGGAATAGTATTTACATTTTTGAAATCAGCATCAAAAACTCAATCGCACTTTGAATTTTCTTTATAACCACATGAAAATATCTGGCATTTTTTCTCAAGTACAGTGTCGCCCCTCAAGTGGTTTTCAGAGGATGCATCTTTTTCATCAGTACCTTGCAATGCAATAGGCATGTCCCATGAAGGCTTGCCTGCTAAATCTTAACCTTTTAACTCCTTTGGACGAGTAGAACTCCTCCAAGCAGAATAGGTACTCTTCTCTGGCGTTCAGACAGAGACGCATGCATTTACGGGTTAAATTGCGTGTTATCCACTAAATAAATGGCAGCATTTGCTCAAGGATTTAGTTTTCTCCTGCGGCCTGAGCACGGTTTTCGTATGGAAGGGCGGCGTACGGTGGCGGCAACCCATGCATAGCTGGCCAGTAAAGATGAAAAAAAAAAAAAGCTATTCGTTTTCTTCCTCATCTTCAAGTCACAATGATTCAAGTAAAGATATTTATCGTTTGTTCGTAAGTGAAGGCAGTGATTACAGTGAATAAGTAGCCCCTCCTGAGATGAAGAAATATCAGACCCGAACAATAACTGTGAGTGCCCGCCAGTGAAGTTGCATAGCGTTATTTCGAGTTTTGAAATTTTGCACACCAGCCCCAAAGCTTCCCGAGTGAAATACCCAAAGCGTGCTTAGCCAACACAAATGAAGAGAGATGTGGCACCTGTAACTGTTTTGTTTGCAACAATTTCATTTTTATTAGCAGCAGATAGCTGGTTTCCTGTGTATTGTTCGGAGATAAACTTTATTACGTTGATTTGACGAAGTATGTGGGGAAAATATTTTTTCAACACTGACTAGCTATTTTTAGTACAATCAGAATCGAAGTCGTCGATAAAAAAATAGGTACTTTTTCGCCAGAAATTTTCAAAAAAAAAATGAGCACATAGGGGTTTAAAAAGAGAATCCTTACCAATTAAACACTGTGGATGGTAAAAGACTCACGTGGAAAGCACACTCTTGTTGTGGAGGACACCCTCGGGTGTGCTGTAGATGGAATACTCCTCAGCCGTCACTAGCCGCAGCTCATTGCGGCTCAGGGTTGCCAGCACCTCGGAGATTACCGAATTCATTACGAACTTTGGCAATACGGCCGTCAGGGTGATGATGGCTCCTTTTACGTCCTGACAAGAAAGACAGTGATAAGCATGAGCCGGTTCGGAACAGAATAAAAAAAGGTAAAGGCAGAAACAAAGATCGAATTGAACTTAAGTAGTATATTGCCGCGACAGGTTGGCCACGTTCAAGTACCCACCGCAATCATTGTGGCAAGAGCACCAGCAAGACCCGGCTGGCATGCGCCACGCGTTCGTGCGCTTGGCCTACGAGGAAGAGGAAGATAGTTGAATCTGTGTCACTCGGCTACTCGGACTCGACGACCATAGTCATTAGACTCGTGGGCACAAGTTCGCCCTAATAAAGACGCTTGTATTTTAGCCTGTCTGCCTCAGCATCGCTACATTTCTGGTGGAGGTGCTGGGTAATGAATCGAAGCCCCACGAGCTCAAGACAGCGTAGCCCCGACAACCAGCCTGTCAACCCCATGGAAGTGACTCCTGTACACCAGAGGGAAAGTCGCCGTCTTCGAGGTGACTCACCTGAGTTCAGTCCTCTCCACTTCACACCAAGGGGAAGTCAAACGATGGACGCCACCACTATGACTAGCCAGGTAACACCGGCACAAGTGTTCATCAGCCAACCGCACTAGCCGCCAGTATTCCACGGCGACTCGTACGAGGACGTGGAAGATTGGTTGGACCTGTTCGAGAGAGTGGCGAGCTTGAATGGATGGGACGAAAGAGAGAAGCTCCGTTGCGTATACTTCGCCCTGGAAGACTTCGCAAAGACATGGTTTGAGAACCATGAAACCTCGTCTACCTGGGAGGTATTTCGACAACAAGCGGTGGCTGCGTTCGCGAACATAGACCGAAAAGAAAAAGCGGAAGCTGCTCTTCAATCCAGGAACCAGCTCACAAACGAGAGTGCTGTCATGTACATTAAGGACATGGTCGTCTGTTCAAGCGTGCGGATTACAACATGGCTGAGGATAAGAACGTGCGCCATCTAATGTGCGGAGTGAAACAAGAGCTGTTCGCCGTTCTCGTCCGCAACCCTCCAAGCACAGTTGCTGAGTTTTATTCGGAAGCGACGGCCATCGAAAAAACACTGGAACAGCGGGCTCGGCAGTACAACCGGAATCTTAAGTGCGCATCTGCACAGGTATTCTCTGAAGGCATGCGAAACGACATTGAAGCCCTGCGAGAGCTCATTATAAGGAAGAACTGAGCAGACTGCAAATGCCCCAGACTCCAACTGCACTATCTGTTACCGACGTTGTTCGTGACGAACTGAGGCAGGTCATACGAGAACCAGAGCGTGAGCTGCGGCTGGTTCGACCTATCCGAACGTTCTCTGAAGTTCTCAGACAACCCACAGTACACAGCAATGCAGCAGTTGCGATGGCGGCGACTCCTCTCCCACCTGCAGCACGTAGCGCACCTCGTCCACGGGCACCAACGGCTACCTATCTGCCCCCAGGAGCACGTAGCACACATCGCTATGTGGAGCCTAGGCCCAGGAAAAGTGACGTCTGGCGTGATCACGAGCGCAGGCCTCTGTGTTTCCATTGTGGCGAAGCGGGTCATTTGTACAGATTCTGCCCTTACCGACAGGCTGGATTAAGAGGCTTCCCGTCGTATGCATTGTGCCCCCGAAACGGCGAACGACCAGCGGAGATTGAGGAGTACTTGTCCACGTGCCAGAACTCGCCACCTGTACGCCAACATCGGTCACGGTCACCATCGCCTATGCGCTACCGGTCATCCAGCCCACGTGCATCTTCAAGGCAGCCTAGCCATCGCTCTCCAAGTCCACTCCCGGAAAACTGAAGCAGCGACCTGTGGAGGTGAGGCCGCTGATAACATCAGTTACGAAGATCCTCCAATATGGCTTGAGGGCGACGACGGTGTATTTCCGGTAAATGGGTGCAGCAACAAAAGCGTTACTTAAGATTTGTGGTTGAGAATGGAAGGATGGGAGCTGAATGCCTTAGTCGACACCGGTGCTGATTATTCAGTGATAACTCACAAGATAGTGAAGAAGCTAAACAAAGTTGTGACACAGTGGAGTGGATCGCAGATACGCACGGCAGGTGGTCACATTATTATGCCCCTTGGCAGATGCACTGCAACCCTTGAAATACGGGGCTTTATTTACATTGCCGATTTCATTGTGCTACCAGAATGTTCAAGGGACCTCATTATAGAAATGGATTTTTTGCGAGCTAATGGCGCCGTAATTAAACTGCGTAGGTCCAGCGTGTCGTTTTCGACTGAACGAGCTATACCGGTAGAGGAATCTGAGGAACGACGCCTAATTGCTTTACGTGTTGTTCATGATGACGTAACTGTGCCGCCACGCTGCAGTATAATGGTGCTCGTAGAGAATGACGCATTTTACAACCGCGAAGGCATAGCGGATACAAATGTAGGGCCGTTTTTTAAAAAAGGTGTCTGCGTAGCTCGGGGTCTTGTTCACTTGACGAATGGCCGTGCAGATGTCCTACTTACGAATTTCTCCAATGAACTTAATGAACTCCAATGAACACATCGCTCAAGGCACGGCTATTGCGTATTTACACGACTTCTGTATGGCGACCGAACTATGCAGCTTAACGACGTCAACCACTCGACCAGTGACCTGCAACATCGACACATCTGTGATCGTCAACCAGAACCTACCGGACAGTCAAAAAAAAACAGATTTACGCCTTGGTAAAGGAATTTTCTGATTGCTTTTCGATTGCCTCGAAGGTTCAGCGCACGTCAATTACGAAACACAGAATTATAACGCAAGACGACACGAGGCCTATATGCCAGCATCCATATCGAGTGTCACAGAAAGAACGGGAAATCATTAAGAAGCAAGTGGAGGAAATGCTTTCGGATGATGTCATCCAGCCTTCTAATAGTCCATGGGCATCCCCCGTAGTGCTCGTTACGAAGAAAGACAACACACTTAAATTCTGTGTCGACTAGCGAAAACTCAACAGCGTAACTAAACGAGATGTCTACCCCTTGCCACGTATTGACGATACACTAGATCGGCTGCGATCCGCAAAGTTTTTCTGCTCCTTGGATCTGAAAAGCGGATATTGGCAAATAAAGGTCGACGAGCGGGACCGTGAAAAAACGGCATTTGTAACACCAGATGGCCTCTACGAATTCAAAGCGCTTCCATTCGGCCTCTGTTCCGCGCCAGCGACGTTCCAGCGAATGATGGACACTGTCCTCGCGGGATTGAAATGGCAGTCATGCCTAGTGTATTTGGATGACGTGGTGGTATTCTCTGCAACATTCTACAAACATCTAGAGCGACTGCGCACAGTATTAGAAGCCATCCGGTCAGCAAACTTGACAATCAAACCCGAAAAATGCCACTTCTGCTTCGAAGAGCTGCGATTTCTTGGACATGTCATTAGTTCTGACGGTGTTCGTCCTGATCCCGAAAAGACAGCCGCTGTTCAGAGGTTCCCTACACCCAAAGACAAAAAGTTTTTGGGTTTATGTGCCTACTATAGGCGATTTTTGCGGAACCTCTTACAAAACTAACAAAAGACGACGTGCCCTTCACATGGTAAAGCGAACAACAGAAAGCTTTTGATGAATTAAAAAAACAGCTACAGGGTTCACCAATACTTGAACATTTGATGAGACAGCCGACACTGAAGTCCATACCGATGCCAGCAATGTCGGCCTCGGCGCCATCCTGGTCCAGTGGCAAAATGTTCAAGAGAAAGTGTTAGTCTATGCCAGCCGCAAGCTCTCAAAAGCTGAGGCAAACTACTCTGCAACTGAAAAAGAGTGCCTCGCAGTCATCTGGGCAATAAATAAGTTTCGACCCTACCTTTATGGCAGACCGTTCAGAGCTGTCAGTGACCACCATGATCTATGCTGGCTGGCAAGTCTCAAGGATCCGTCAGGTCGACTAGCCAAATGGAGCCTTAGGCTGCAGCAGTATGACATTACTGTCGTATACAAATCTGGAAGGAAACACGGTGATGCCGACTGCCTGTCACGCTCTCCTGTCGATCCAAGTGTACCTGAAGAGGAAGGCTTCCCATTTCTAGGCGTTGTCGACGCATCCAAAATCGCTCAACAACAGCGAGATGACCCGGATTTGCTGGCGCTTATACAACACCTGCAGGGTCTCGACGTTCAAGTCCCTCGCATATTCTCCAGAGGGCTCTCCACGTTCTGCCTTCGTGGAAGTGTCCTTTACAGGAGGAACTTCGAACCTAATGGCGAAACGTTTTTACTAGTCGTGCCCACAGCCATGCGACAGAAAATTCTGCATGCATGCCACGACGAGCCAACATCTGGACACGTGTGAGCCGAACGTTCGACAGGATTCGCCTGAAGTATTATTGGCCTAAGTTGCTCGCATCAGTGCAGCGCTATGTGAAAACTTGTCGTCAATGTCAACGGCGCAAAACTCCAGCCGTAAAACCAGCCGGCCTTCTCCAGCCAATACACCCTCCGGATGCCCCATTCCAACAAGTCGGCATGGACTTCCTAGGACCTTTCCCAACATCATGTGCAGGCAAGAAATGGATTGTCGTAGCTACAGACTATCTGACCCGTTATGCTGAGACTGACTCTCTGTACAGTGCGACAGCTGCCGAAGTCGCCAAGTTCTTTGTGAACAACATAGTGCTCAGACATGGTGCGCCCATCGTCGTTATTACGGATCGGGGCACCGCATTTACTGCAGACATTATGCAATGTCTGATGCGCATGACAAATACCGATCACAGAAGAACAACGGCGTATCACCCTCAGTCAAATGGCTTAACCGAACGCCTCAACAGAACTCTGACTGACAAGCTATCAATGTATGTCGATGTTGAACATAAACAGTGGGATGAAATATTACCCTACGTAACATTCGCATATAATACAGCCGTTCAAGAAACAACCCACGTTCTCCTTTCGAACTAGTATTCGGCCGAAGAGTGACCACCCCACTGGATGCCATGTTACCACTACAGGACGAAAACAGCTATCCACCCGACTTAGATGACTTCTTGCAAAGAGCCGAAGAAGCACGACAAATGGCAAGATACCGAATACGCCGTCAACAGCGCGTTGACTCTAGTCGGTACAACAAGCGACGCAGTGACGCACTTTATCATCCCGGTGACAAAGTGTGGATATGGATCCCAGTGCGCCGCCGCGGACTCTCTGAAAAGCTTCTTTGTCGATACTTCAGCCCTTATGAAGTACTCAACCGTATCAGCGACGTCACTTATGAAGTCAGATCCGCGGGACACGTGCGCTCAAGACGCCGCAATCCCCGCAGAAGTGGTACACGTAGTCCCCATGAAGCCCTATCATGACAGATCGTCGGAAAACGAGTGAGAGTGCGCATGTATCATTTCACTCTCTCAAGCATCGGGACGATGCGTCTGAGGAGGGGGATAATGCCGCGACAGGTTGGCCACGTTCAAGTAGCCCGCCGCAATCATCGTGGCAAGAGCACCAGCAAGACCCGGCTGGCATGCGCCACGCGTTCGTGCGCTTGGCCTACAAGGAAGAGGAAGATAGTTGAATCTGTGCCACTCGGCTACTCAGACTCGACGACCATAGTCATTAGACTCGTGGGCACAAGTTCGCCCTAATAAAGACGCTTGTTTTTTAGCCTGTCTGCCTCAGCATTGCTACAATATATCGCATATTATAAAGAAAATGGGCATAGTAATCGTCATGACCCGACTATTCTGCATAATCTGCACAATAAGTTTTTGGAATTGAAACAAGGCCTGTGCAAATGCCTCCCTCCCCCTTTTTTTTCTTCAAAAAAAGTGGGAACAACTTTGAATAGTAGCAGAATTTGCCCTTCGTAGAATGCAAGTAAAACCAGTAAAACATGTTCTAAAATTTACTATACTTAGAACATATAAGCCGGTATGACTAGCCTTTAAATTTAAGAAATGATGAATCGATATGAGGGTAATATTGCTGCCGTTGCTGCCACTTAGGATCAAGGGTTGTTCGAGTCAGCAGTGTCAAAACACTTTATGGTGTGACTGCAGCCCACTGTTCTTTGTCTGCTCTTGTCTTCTTGTTTTTTTTTTTTTTTCACAATTGTGATTTGTCATTTCCTTCAGTGCTGTTATTATCACTTATGCTGCATTTATATTGTGCCCACCCCCTCATTAACACCCACTTGGTCTTGAGGGTATACTAATAAATAAATAAATAAATAGATAAATCTGTTCATTCAACTAGTAGTGAGACTTTGCAGCAGGGCGAATTTTGTTTGGATAGGCATTATCAGAACTTAGCCCCTCTTCACTGCCACAAAACCACCTCTCAAGTGGGTTACATGCCGATTAATATACATCTATTCGTTCATTTTGAATATGTTGAAATATTCAATAAGTCAAATTCAAATCAAAGTGAATTCATATACTGTAATAATAATTCAAGTATTCGAAACATTTGAATATTTGCACAAGCCTAGTTATGTCCACAAAATTGTCATCTTGACAAATTACAAGGTCATGGTGAACGTGGACAATATTAGTGACTTTACTAGTGCGTGCAAGTATTTATATTTTCTCGGTCGGCATTGACCACAGCTTCCATATCAAGTGGCACCACTCTTAATTTTTTGCTTTAAAGCTTTACTTTGCCTAGTGTTATGCAATTTTTAACATCTGTATCATAATTGGTACAATACACTTAAACAGTACAATCAACATCCCTCTTTTCTTCCTTGGGTTCAGTAACTACTGGGTTCCATTAAAGTATGTCCAGTCATTTATTTCTTATTCTGCACAATTTCAGACACTTTAAGTTTTTGTTGAAGTAAATTATAATACTGCAAGGTTTGTTGGAATTTCTTGTGTCTAAAGTATACCCACAGACCTGCTTTTTCTGTCACAGCATTAGAAGCAACTTCTCACCGGGTCGATGGTTTCCCTGCACAGCAGCAGTGGAAGTGCCTGCTCAGGGTCTAGTGGGGCCTCGCGGTCGAGCTTGAGCAAGTCCACAATGCGAAGCCACAGGTTGGGATGATGAGCAGCTGTTGAAGGAAGTACAAGCAGGGGCTGCCACTCTCCCAACAGCAGCTCTCCACTCAAAGGCGTGTCTAATTTATACCCCACGCCACCACCGCAACACTACAAACCTGGGTGTTATGCCCGATGTTTCAATCAGTACTAGCACATGCACCTACAAGACTGCTGACATGCTGCTGGATGAGTGCCAAGTGACATAAGTCTAAAGAATATGCACTCACAGAAAATTTTTAGAAAATCTGATTCAAGACCTTTTAGACAAAACAGACAGTGCAAGTACATTACCAGTGCATCTCGCTATTTACAATATACTATTTCGCATGGGCAGCAGTTTGAATATGTCACGATTAGAGCAAAATGCAGGTTTACATAGATAGCTTAGCAAGTGAAAGGAGACATATCGTCCCTAGCAAGTTGTGTGCAGCACATTGCCTGCTAAGCTCATTCATGGTCTCCCAATTGCAAAAAGCCGACCGCCCGCTCACCAAAGATTGAGTGGTGTGCAGGCAGCAAGGACTCCAGGGCAAGGTCCTCAGTGTCCTTGGTATCCAAGTTAGAGCCCGAGCAGATGGCGACCAGCGCCTCGGCCAAGATTTTGGCCTCACCCGGCCCGCACTCCTCAGCCTGCAAGAGCATCAAAAGTGCAGCTCTCAGCCTTGTCCGAATAAGCCATACAAGTTCCCAATGAGGCTGCGTGTTCACAACGCAGTGCCTATGCCTTCGGCTACCCCCGTGCAAATTTCTCATAATGTTCAAGCACTCTACTAACTAAAGACCTCAGCAGTCACACTCGATGACTACCTCTTCACATTTTGCTCGTGGCGCATAGAGACAATTGCAGCGAAAACCATTCATCAATGTCAGTCACAGCCGCTGCAGAGAGCATTGTTGTGGATAGAATGTATGTTATGGTTGGAGGCTACCATCAGATACCAACTTCTTTGTTTATTAAGATATCTCAATGAAATTTTCAGCAAAAACTAATAGCAAAAGCATTATAACTACTACGAAATTTCATGAAGTTATGTTCACTGGTTCTCCAGTTACGGCAGTATGTCAGAATAGTGCACATGGTTCTCTTATTCCAAGCCTGGAGAACTTTCAAAAGTTGCTAAAACTGTGAAATTAACAACGATGATTCTCAGGTTGATACCTCAGGGAGTAACAGAGCTCTTTTTTTTTTTTTTAATTTCCTTACTGAAAAGTTTCAACAGACCATCAAATTTATCCTTGGTGATTGGGATATGATTAATCAAGTTTTGATCAGGTACCATAAATAAGAGACAATATATTGAAAAAATGGGCTTGCCTCACTACCAGAAATCTATTCACGTACATAATAAAAAAGACTTATGAAAATAGGATGAGTGGTTCCCCAGATATGGCTGGAACAAGCAGCCTCACTAGCCAAAGAAAGTCATTTTGAGAAAACGACATATGAAAGTTTTGGGCATATATGCAAATCTAAAGCAACCCTGCAGCATAACTGGAGGTGTCCTTTGGGACAATCTTCGCCACCTTTCTGTCTTCTCCAAAGATTTCTTCTTAGCTTTCTACAAGCGCAGTGAGTCTCTCTCGGCTGCCCGCTGAATGACCAGGTCACGCTCCATTGCCTGAAATTACCGCTTCGTCGCTAGCATAGTGCCGAGTTCCCTTTGAACAGCAGCACGTTGTTGATCCGCCACCTCTCAAAAAACGTGTTCACAAGTGCACAGTTTACGACACGATCGCACTCCCGGAGGTCTATGAAAGAGAGGATGTGGAAGCTCCTGTCAATGAGTGCGAAACACCAGGCGCACTTGCAACGTCAAATTTTTGCACCGGTGGAGCAGGAGTCCCGTGTCTAGGCGTGTGGATGCAACCACACTCTCGCGTAGATGAAGAAGCTGCTCCACATGTACTGTCGGTGAGATCACCATCGGCGCACATGCAAGCGGAGAGCCTCGCCATGCGGACAACCTTCATAGATCACTTCCTTGCACCGAACACTTGTAGCGTCTTCCTTTTCATTGGACGCATCATGAGCGAATGCAACAACGGTCTTGTAAAGACAGTTGAAAATCATCCCGTGAAGATGTTTGAAAATCATTTCATAAAAACAGTTGAAACGCGGAGAGTATGTGAACGGCTGCAACGACAGACGATAGTGAATGAAACGCCGGGGATGGAGGAGCGGCAGACGACGAAGAGCCGCATTATGTGCAAGAGTACAGTATAAACCAGAATATAAGTCGAGATATTTTCAATAAAACAACGAGCTAAAGTGTCCCCTCGTCTTATATAGCGGTGTCTAGCCGACAGTGCACCGCTGTCTGGCAACATGTGGCTTGCATGTGCATGAGAAGCTGGACACAGCCATATTTGCATTCAAATCCAATAGCAGGTTGTTTTTTCTCTCTTGTCTGTTTTTTTTTTTTTTTCTGTTCGTGATTTGTCTCCGATCTGTTCCAAGTTCTCGCTCCGCTTGACATTGTGTTTCATTTTTAGTGGTCTTTTTTCCGTTCACTGAAATATGAGTAGCGGTACGAGAAGGCAGTACTCAGCTGCGTTTAAACTAAACGTTGTTGAGTTCGCAGAAGCAAATGGGAATATGGCTGCTCAGCGCCGCTTTGGTGTATCAGAAAAAAGCGTGCTCTATTGGAGGGTGCAGAAAGAGAAGATGCTGATGTGCAATCTTCAGAAAATGTAACTTCGTGGGCGAAGTGCGGTTCATTCGCAGCTGGAGGATACGCTAGGGAACTTTGTGTGGGAAGTTCATGCGTGCTCGCTGCCAGTGACCGTGGATACCATTCGCAAGAAAGGAAAGCTGTGGAACTCGCTCGAGAAGCTGGGCTCACGAGAGAAGAGTTTCGTGAATCTTCAGAAAATGTAACTTCGTGGGCGAAGTGCGGTTCATTCGCAGCTGGAGGATACGCTAGGGAACTTTGTGTGGGAAGTTCATGCGTGCTCGCTGCCAGTGACCATGGATACCATTCGCAAGAAAGGAAAGCTGTGGAACTCGCTCGAGAAGCTGGGCTCACGAGAGAAGAGTTTCGTGCACCAAACTCTAGGGTGCGTCGATACATGAGACGCAAAGGATTTCCTTTCCGGTGGCGCACATCCATCTGTTAGAAGTTTCCAGACGAGTTCGAGGACAAGCTTATTAATTTTCAGAGCTCCGTGAACTGACTTTGGGGCAGATTGACAATGCCAATGAGACCCCCGTGTGGTTTGACATGCCTTCATCGACCATGATCATGCAGCATGGTGCCAAGGATATGAAGCTGTTGCCCACTGGCATCGGGCACTCGCGCTTCATCGTCATGCTGGCATGCATGGCAGACTGTGGAAAGCTTCCACCATTCATCATTGTCAAACGTAAGACAATGCCGAAATAAATGTTCCCGCCCGGTGTTGTTGTTCGCATCAACAAAAAGGGATACATGCACGAGGCCATGATGTTCGAATGGATACGAGTAGTCTGGAACCGTCAGCCAGCTACACTGTTGTGTCTTTGCAGCATGCTGGTGTTAGATGTGTTTTGTGGTCACTTAACCGACGCTGTGAAGCGCGCACTGGGCATTGGAAAAGCGAATCTCGCCGTGATACTGGGTGGTATGACGTCCACCCTCGAACCGATCGACATTGTGCTAAACAAGTCGTTCAAGGATCAAATGCGGCTGGAGTACCAAAAGTGGATGTCCAGGTACAACCCAAAGACACCGATGGGCCGCCTACAGAGGCCTCCGTTTGCGACTGTTTGTGGCTGGGTGCTTTCCACCTGGCGTTCCTTGCCAGATTCCATGGTGGAAAATGCTTTTAAGATATGTTCCATCAGCAACTCGTTGTGTGGGCACGGAAGACAACCCACTGTGGGAGGCGGCCAGCGACAAACTCTCGTGTTCAGAAGACAGTGGCGCTTCGTCTGACGAATAGGAACAGTTCTCGGCAATTTTGGGTTGTTTCCTTTTTTTGTTCTTTTTTTTGTAACCTGAGCTTGAGAGGTCGACCTATATTCCCACTCGACCTCTAGTCCAGTTTATACGGTACCAAGTCATCGCGCGCAGGGTCCCTCGCAGGGTCCCTCTCGTCCTTGAGGAGTGCGCGCATCGCCCAATCCCGGCGGCGTTTCTCTGCCGCAGCAAACTTCAAATCTCTCGCGAACCTTTCAATCATGAGCAGCTTGCTTCTCTCCTAGGCTGCCGCCGTCGCCGCGGGTGGCAGGAAAAGAAAGTGAAAGAATTCACAAACAAAACAATACCAAAATAGCGGAGCTCGTTCAACCGGTCGAGAAACTGCGATTGCGCCAATTTGGGCTATAGACGTCACACTCTGGAGTTTTGCAGACACGCAACACCACCTGACGACGCAGTTTTAAGTAGTGCACAGCCCGACTCCCTTGCACAGTTTGCTGTACAAGCAGGTGCTACTATAGCGCACGCAACAACTATTGAGCAAAATATTAGGTGTATTTCCGCATTGAACACTCAGAAAAAGAGCTACAAATTTTTCTCCGCTAGTCAGACGCATCACCGAACAGCCGTGAAGTGCTTGCTGGTTCACTAGAGTGAACAACGGTGAAAACAAGAGCAGACGCAACAGCACCGCGCTCTACTAAAAAAAGACCCCATTCTGCACTACTGTTGCGTTGGGAAAGGCCACGGACGCAAATGACTTCAGTTTTACTGTTTGCACAGCTTTCGCAAAGGAGAATGGCGAGAGCGCTAAATACAGGCTGTTGCGAGCGTGTTGGGTAAGCGAATTACTCGCATTCTCCACAGCCGTTCGCACAGGTAAGTGGGATAATGTAGGTCTCCTGTTATTGTTTTGAGTAGCCTTGATGGAGAACCACGGTAACATTTATTATGAAGCTTAACAGACCCTCTGACCGCGGTGCATGACGTGCAACAGTAGACAGGTGACACCCAGCGGTTTGGCCGTCGCACACCTCGATTGATATGTGGGGTTTTAATGTCCCAAAACCACCATATGAATATGAGAGACGCCGTAGTGGAGGGCTCCGGAAATTTAGACCACCTGTGGTTCTTTAACGTGCACCCAAATCTGAGCACACGGGCCTACAACATTTCCGCCTCCATCGGAAATGCAGCCGCCGCAGCCGGGATTCGATCCCACGACCTGCGGGTTAGCAGCCGAGTACCATAGCCACTACACCACCGCGGCAGGGCTGGCCGTCGCACACCTTGCGACCACTGATAATCTGAAGTTGTCGCCACCACACGGTATTACGCACGTAGGGATTTGAGGGCTCTAAGGGCCGGCTTTAAATAAGAAATGCGAAAGCGTGTGTCATATCTTTTTTTCTTTTTTTGTTGGTCTTTATGATTACCGGAGCTATCTCAGAGGCATTGGTTTTGCGTTTTGTTGTACACTGAGAAAGTGGACACACATGTATCCCCATTTGCAGTATATACAAACGAAAGACAACCGTCAAGAGAGCATTCGAGCATGCGTAATAAAACAGTTCAACAGACAAGAGGCGAGAAATCGAAGAATGCAACTGCAAAGTGAAAATCACCATGGCCATTCGTGCCGGATAAAGCAAGCTTTGTACCAATGATAGCAAGATAGATTGCTCTTGTATGCACTTTATCGCTTTGGCATCATGTGTATGCCCAAGTTTA